AGTGCTACATATACATTTTCCAACAATACTAGAACTTTCACAATCATATCTTCAGACCGTCATTGTCTACAACAACATTATAAAGCACTGATGAAGACATTTACTTCATAATATTGGAGAAATCAGAGTAATTACTGATTAAATCTTTTCATTTCATTCCAATTTTTAACCATCTGTATAAAATAATATTTCAGGGTTTTGAGCCATTTTATGGAAAATGAATAATATCTTAAATCATCACAGTATGTACAATACAGCAGGCAATGGAAACTTTATTTTCCCCCTGAATGTTTTTAAATCTACCACCCTTAATGGCCATGGTATATTTTCCTTATTACAGACATGCAACTCTTCAGGGAACTCAAGTGAACCCTGCTGCATTTCCTTCATCATGTCTTTTTAAACCTGGTCTTGGGTACTCACAGTGAGGTGTAAGCAGCCTGCAGTCTCTTCTATGATTTCTAGTTTTAAAGTGGAGATATCTCTGGGGAGATAGGATGGGGTGGCACGAGTCAGGTTGGCAGCACGGCCTCGCGTGGTGGGACTGAAGGGACCCATTTTGTAGCCGGGGTACAAACTGGGGTAGAAGCACCAAGGTGGTCCTGCAGACTTTGGCAGAGGAGCGTAGCAGCATCCCCTCTGTTCACACTCCCCCTGGCTGAGAAGCCGGTCCCTGGCACAGTCAAACCTACTCTCAGGGGCCATGGTACATTTAATGTCTCTGGAAATATCAGTGTTTTGGGAGCTTTCTGGGTGCACTCCCTTTGTATCCACTGAATTGTTCTGTGTTTTTGTTGGATTAGTATTAACAAGCCTTTCATGTGGTTTGATTCTATTTAGTTTAGCATAGACTGATCTAACTAGTCTGGTCTCATGGTTAGATAAATTGTTTATGTATAAACATGTTGACAAAGCAAAGGCGAGGAGGAGCAAAGCTACAGTACAGTTAGACAGCAGAGCCATAACCTCTTCACAGGGCAGAGGTCACTTCAGGTGAGCTCTGCAGGACACGATTTGTGCTTCGTAAGGTGCAAATATTCACTCTCAGAGTGAGTTGTCCCTATTACAGAAAGTCCTCACGAACCTAGAGCTAATGGAGACGCATTCACACTCACAGTTATGTGACATTTTGTGGATGTTGAATCATTGGCAGCTCGGTTAGTTAGCTAGCTGTTAGCTAGCAATAAGCTAACGAGCAGTTCAGTGTCGGTGCTATTATTTAGCATTCCCCTCCAAAACAAAATGTGCGAGCAGTGGTAGAAAGCAGTTGTGCTGAATGACAGCGGGACAATAACGAATAAGCTGTCGAGAATGAAATAAGATGCAAGTAGACATATAAGTTGTATACTGTCAGTGTCAATGGTCGACGCAAAGCGCAGACTACCATCCAACTAGGGCAAGCGTACTAGGACAAAAGTGCTCAAAACTCCTGCCGCAGTTTCTTCTCCTTTCTTTTCTACTTTTTGTGTATGAATGAAAACTACACGGGAGTTTTAATCAAGGGACGGAAATACATAGACAAGAACAACAAATGCCTTAAATGTTATTAAATGGGATGTTTGGTTTTCTGACCTGGCCACACTAATAGAGTCAGATTTTTATCATTTAATAAATATGTATCAAATGTTTGGGTTTTTTTGTACCAAAATTGTGTATATTTTATTCCTGAATTATTTCTACTAAAAACAATATACATTGCAGAAATATTATGTGTCATTAAATAAAACTATTTGATAAGGTGAAAATCTTATGACCATACACCAGTTGAATAGAGGAACACACACTGACACATTTCCTGATAGGTTCAGCCAATATCAAAACCCCAACAATTAACTTGGAAGACAATTAATTCTGATTCTTCTAAAAGTTTTTCATTCAGTTTTAGATTAAATCTGTATGAAATCTCAAAATTAGGCTTCTGTGTTGCAAATGCATGAATCCTGTATTGACTAACTTGTCTCAGTCACAAAACCTTGTCTACTAGTCCATAATACTTTCAGCTAGAACTAAAATCAGACAGTGACCATTTTTGACAACTTGCTTTGATTTTCAAGTAATTTTCTAATTTCTAAAGCTACATGGTTTAGCGCCAACATATCTAGATAAACCACTCTGCAAGTCTTCTGTCTATCACTTATCACTTAACTGCCATGTAGTTTGTTCAAGGAATGACAACATAAAATTGAATTAACAGTTTATTGAATTTGGTGACATGTTTTATATATATTTATTAACATTCAAAGTATAGCAATAAAAGTACAGGTAGTCCAACTGGTTTCATTTGTAGTTTCATATTAAGGACAAGCAAGTTTTCATAGTTTGCATAATTTATATTCAATATCATTTTCTATAAATGTGATACTTATTACGTTATTCTTTTGCTTGTAAATATGTATACATATTCTTCTTCAACTGTACAAAATGTGGCTATTTAGCTCTTGATACATTTATTGTTAAAACACAATTCGTATGAACATAGTTTGAATGGGGCGCCCAGTTAGCTCAGTGGGTAGAGCTGGCGACCCATGTACCGAAGCTGAGTCCTTGCTGCAGCGGCCCAGGGTTCGAATCTGACCTGCTGCCCTTTGCTGCATGTCATCCCCTCTCTCTGCCCCCCCATTTCCTGCTCCATTCTTCAGCTGTCCCTAATCATAAGAAGCAATAAAAGGCCCATAAAAATACCTTTAAAAAAAAAAAAAACATAGTTTGAATGAATTTCATTACTCTATACATTGTATCCTGGAAAATAAAGAAGAATGAATGTAAGAAAATTCAAAATGCTCAAAATGTGAACTGCAGTCAATCTGAACTGGATCTAAAAACAATGTGAATGTTCATATATACACAGAATATAGCTTTATTTTTAGTACACTTAAAGTATAAGAGGGAAAAATGCAAAATGTAAATATCAAACTATCTTTACAACTTACATTACAATACTCAAACCATGTGCTTCAAATTGTTTTCTTCTTTTAGAGATATATTGCCTACTTGACAAACTTGCAGGCACACAAAAAGGCTTGGGTGTTGTGAATTTATCTCTTCACAATCTGTTCTTGCTCTTGGTAATGAGGCCAATAATAGTCCAATGTTTCTGACATATAGCCACATGAGACAGGATCATTGTTAAAAAAAAACAACTACACTTTCACCATGATGTTGCAAGCAACAGGGCCTCTGAACGTAAACCCCAGGTAGAATGTAATGTTTTCATTACTATGAGGCACTGAAGGTAAATGAAGAGGCAGGATACTGAACTTCTTTTTCCGAGGGCCCTCAAGGTACACCACTCCATCTTCAGTCCATCCAGACACACGTTTCAGCATCTCAGCAATCTCAGGCTTTTTCAATGCCTCACCCCTTAACCATGTCATGCGTTTCTCAGAGACTGAGAACACCTTTGTGACTCTTTCGAACTTTTTCTTGTGGACAAATTTATCCAATCCATTCCCACTGCCCAGGAAAAAATGTGTGTAAAGCCTTCTCTTCCGCTGAGGAATGTCCTTCTTCTTGATCAAGTAGCCTTTTTCCAGGTGTTCAACTGCCGATTGCACAATCTCATATTTGGTTTCTTTCTCAAGGTCTGTGTCATGATCCTCTGGCCAGAACAGCAAGGTAATCAAGAACAGGGCACTTGGTAAACATTTCCTTTTATCAGTTGGGAACTGATGACAAAGTGCCTGTAGATCTTTCAGAGGGGCTACCTTTTGAGTTTCTGGTGACAGGCAGTTCAGAGAAATGTGGGCCACTATGTAATTGACAATGTCCCTTTGGCCAAATTTGGCCTTTACTGGATTGCTGGGGTAGAGAGAAAGGATGCTCTGTAGAAGGCATATTGCATCCCTCTGGTCAGTTAGCTTGGAGAGGATGGATGTAATGTTCCCCCCACCAAGATGATAAATGATCATGCGTTTTTGGAAAGGAGTCAGATTGGCTGGGATTGGTTGCCCATGTTTTAGAAGTGTAGCAGAATAAGCTTCACTGAAGTATTTCCCATAGTCTGAAGATCTTTTTGCCAACCACGTCAGTGGATGGCGTATCTTCTCTTCAGGACTTTCAGGGGTCTCTTCTTCATCACCAATATCTGTCTGGAAGTAACTGAGGTCTTCTGAAATCCATTCCAAGGCATCTTGCATTGTCTTGTGAAGTTTTTTTAAACGGCCATGAAATGGTTCCCAAGCATCTTCTACTACTTCAGGAATGTAATCTGTTAACAGGTACTTCATACACTCCGAATGACCATTGGCTCGGTTTGCAAACACGTCCAATGAAGAGATCAGTTTGAGCAGGCTGCATCCAACTTCAACTTCAGAAAAAAAACCTGAACTGTTAAGGTGTTCCATATCTGCGTCAGCTGCTTTCTCACATTCTTGAAAACACTCAAGGGCTTTTAGTGCTGTCCCCACAGCATCTGCTGTATTTTGGGCTGTCTTTGGCACACCGTCAGTGTCAATGGCTTTGCATTTAGCTTGGAACCATTTTCTGTACACCTGCCCTTTTGTGTCGAGTATGTATGAGTTGTTGGGCAGTTGTTTAGCTGCAGTCTCTGCCCAGTATTTTGCCTCTTCGAATTTTTCATAAGTATAATGAAGACGAGCAAGTTGTTGTGCAAAGAATGGATCTTTATGGAAACGCTGGAATGCTTCCTTGAGTAAATTAATTGCTTTGTCTGGGCTTTGCTCGTTTTCAGTTACTTTGTCTGGGCTTTTCTTTTTTCCACACACATGCTCAATCAGAGGAGAGAAAAGAGTATCATATTTGTCCCCTTTGCTTATTCTGGATCGCCTTATGAAAAGTGCTCTCAAAAATGACAGATATTCATCCCTTCCAAATCTGTGCTCAAAAAGCACATTGTCACAGAGCAAATCCATTGCCAAACTGCTTTGGGTCTGTTGGTTCCCCAAAAGTTGTTGGAGAATTACCTTTGCAACGAGCGGGTGGATGATTCTGATTGATTCGATGTGCGTCTTATCATCTCTAAGGTGCAAGAAGACTAATTTAGCCTGATCACTGAGTGATTTCTCAAATGCATGCTGGCGAAACCTTTCCAAGTGAAAGGTTAAAGCAAGAAAAGCTTCACAATGGGACTGAGAGATGAAAGACTTTTGAACATAAGTGTTCAGCAGCGCTACATAGAGAATGAGGCGAGTAACAACAGATTTATGGTCAATGCCTTGGAGCAAATTTTTGACAAAGTTTTGAACATAATCCTTATTGAATCCTTCACTCATCAAAACAAATGTCAGGATGAAGTTAGGCTCGTACTGTCCCTCAAGTACTTCTCGTCTTCCGATAAACATTTTCTTCTCTTGAGGAGACAATTCGTGAGTGACAGACACATTCTGTAATAGAGACTCCTTGCTTTTAGTCTCTGGATCATGGGATCGTCTGCAGGTCAACAAAATGAAACAGAGAGTTCCATTCTGGATTCTTTTGGTGTTAATGCCAACCTCTAGTTCATTCCTGAGATCATCTAGATATTCTTTGTCTGAGTCTTCAATGAGGAGTAGCACAGGAAGACACCTCTGTGGATCTTTTTCTTCATATTCTCTTAGTTCAACTGCATGTTGCGCAACAAGAGGAGCTGAGTATGAAGGCTTCACAACTGCACACCTTAAATCTTTCCTGTTGTTCCACAGCACTTGTCTTGCCACAGTGCTTCCACCACTTCCTGGGTGATGGTAGATGTTTATGCTGTTCACTGGAGTTTGATCTGCGTTCCATTTTAAAGTCTCATTGAGAAGTTTGGAAACATCATGATAGGCATCTCTTTCAATTACTTCTCCAACATACTTGTGCTCAGCAAGCCAGAAATTCAACCAGTTCACTCTCCCACCACGGTAGAACTGCTGTTCAATGTTTGCTTTCTCCTCATTGATGAAGTCTTCGCTTGTTTCATCACAGTGGTCGACAGTCAGAATCTCCAGAGAATACATCTGTTCCTCTACTTGTGTTCCAAGAAAACATGTCCCTTTCACAAAGACTGGCAAATGTTTGCTGGCACATGCATTTACAGGTTGTATTTGCTGCAGAGTTGCATTAATGTGACTCATTTTCATCCCAACAACACTGGAATTCTGAACTGTTTTACTTCCACATGAACCCTCTGCAAAGCTTTGCATTCTGGGGAAGTTTTTCTGTGATTCACAGATGCAGATGATGTCTTCATGGCCTTCCATATCTGTAAAAAACTCATTAAAGGTGTGCAATAGGGGTTTTTCAATTGGTGATGTGACAAGAAAAATCACCTGGAAAGTCCCCTTTGGCATAATTTGTTTACAGATCAAAGACACAGATTCCCTTAAGAGGGTCATTTTTGTCTTGATCCAAGTCATTTCATCACATGAAGGTTCATTTCCTTTGAAGTCATTACGGCCATTACAGAAGATCCAGCTAGTTTGCTCAAACAGATGCAGCTGGCTTGTGAATTCTTTGATGGTCATGTCACCAGATATCCTATAGCTCTGCAGAGAATGCATATTTGCTGCATGATGCTCAAGGTACCTGCTGCAAAGACCTGATATCTTTGAGTCTGGGTCAAAGTCAAAAACACAGAACACATTCATGTTAAGCATCCAGTCAATGTTGCAAAGGTCATCAGGACTGAATTTGTTTGTGACGAGTATGAACCATTTCTCCTTTTCAATGAATTTCTTCCCACTTGTCATTAGCATTGTGAGTTTCCTTCCGAGGTCTTGGCAGAAGTCTGGGGCACTGAGGTACTGAGTTTTCTCTGCTTCTTCTCTTTGGGCATCCCGATCTTTGACTCGCTGGTAAAAGTCACTTAGGTCTTTGTCGCTCACCGGCTCCGTTTTTGAACCCACCCTCCGCAGAATCGTTTCTTTCTCAAATTCTACTTTGTTAGTTGACTCTTTGAAGTTTGGCAGACGAACTGCATACACTTTGTTGTTTACGAAATACTTATTGAAGGCACCAATGTCAACCTCAATTATGTACCTCTTTTCTCGTACTTTCTCGATCCATAAACTCAATGAACCTTGGTGGCGAACACAACTTGGCGTACATGCTCCTTGTTAGAGGAGATACTCCTTTCAATGTAGTCTAAAGCATCTACATAAATGTCTTTCACTTGTACAGGAATACCAATGATCTCACCATGTACGTATCCTGCATCCTCCTTGCTGTCCATCACACCAAAGTGTATTGTGCCATTTGATCTGATATTCATACAGCCAGTCGCAAATTTAAGGACCTCTTTGGCAAACTTAGCTTGGAGTCTTGTGCGATCCAATGCAGCAGCTACTGAAAAAGACTTAAATTCATGGCATGGAGTTGTCAGGTTAAAGGCACCTGATTCAGGTTGCAGGACTCTGTGCTTTACATATATAAAATCAATCCCTTCTTGATCAAATGGTCGTGGTCTACAGTCCTCCTTTGAAGTCAACGCACATGGTTCTTGAGCAGTTTCTTTCTCCTCTTCATCTTGATCTCTCTCAGACGTCTGTGCCGGAGGACCTTCACTTGTAGGACACTGAACTGATTTCTGATTAATGTTTTTCTGCTCCAATTCAGTTGTTTTGCCACTGGTGGGCTTTTTCTTCTCTTGAGACTTTTGCTCGAAATTGATGAGCTCATCTCTCTTTTGAATAATCAAATGAGCAGGCCCTGATTTCATGCAAATCTTTGCCTTCAAAAAGTCTTCATTCAGTGTAAGAAGGATGTGTCCATCTACTTCTTCCTCATAGAGTTTTTCTATGTACAGCTCCTTCACTCCAATAGATCTTAGCCAGGAGCTTACTTGAGATTCAGTCCAATTCTTGGGTGACTGCTCAAGTTCTTTAGCTGTACAGAGAGAAGAGATAGAAAAAACGATACATTTTATTAGAAATAAAAGGATAAGAGAAGCACTATAGTTATATTAAACAGACCACAGGCATATCTGTCGTTTGCAAACAATTTGTTAGTCTGTATCTCAATTAGAGCTGGGTATCGCCAATGATTTCCCAAACTGAATCCAGTTGACAAGGTACCAGTTCCATTTTGATTCGATTCAAGCCCAACTCACTGCACTTCGCAGCTAGAGAAAGCTTCCTATTCCTGGAGAGGAGCCACCTGGTGGCACTGGCCCCCGCTTAGGGATCCTGCAATTAGTGGACTAGTCATTTAAATGTTGCTACCCTAGCAAGTCAGTTAGAGAAATACTAGTCAGTTAAACTATTATTAATTTGTTTTAATGTCATCACTGTACATTGTACATCGGCAGTTAATTGTTGCATCTAACATGTAACACAGACACCACTAGTGGAAACATTTCCAGCAGAAAGATACAGTTAAACCAGTGAGGGGGAAAGTGGGTAAAAGATGGCAGCTTGTAAGATTTTTTCTCTTTTTGTCGCAATGAAGTGGCCTGTTTCATATAGCTACACCTTGTTCTTGAATTGAAGGCTGGCCATGCATACACAGGAAAAGGCATATATTAAAAGATTGATCTGATCTGAAGATTTTATTATTGAATTGGGATCTCAATACTTTCCACCTTCCCAATCATTAATTTATGTATTTAAAAGACTACATCTTGATTTAGGAATTAATTCCTAATCAAGACTGTAGTCTTTAAATAATTAATTAATGAGTTTTAGGTCTCTTTGGGGCAGCAGAATAAGCCGTAAACACAACACTGAAATATTATCGCCCTATAAACCACGGGGTGACTGTTTTAACAAACGTAGAGTCGTGTTTCTGGCCACAATGTTAGTTTTGGTCTGGTTTCCACCAGCTCCTCACAAAAATATCTAACTCTTTATCTGCTAAATGTTTCACTATGTTCACCAGCTATAGTGGGTTTATCAGAGCTTTACTATCTGTATAACATATAGTCTGCCTGCTGTGGTTAGAACTAAGGTTAATGAGAATTGACAGTGTCCCAATCCTATCTCAATGATTGGTGTTGCAACAGATCAAGGCATGTTTTAAATAATCGGTATCGGCTATATTGAGCTTTATTGACCCAATCTGATCTTTTGTTTTATGTCAGCTGTCACACAGCTTTTTTTACTCGCAAAGCTTCCATGCACAAAGTCAACTCTCTCCACAATCTGCTTTGTGTGTCAGTGTGAAAGCAGAGGCAGCCCCACCCGCTGCAGAGTTTCACTGTGGGTATGACTGCCTCTGCTCAGAGTAGAGAGAGCGATAGAAATCTGACACAACCACACTCAACACGCCAGTGCAAGTGCAACAAAAGCCATATTAAACAAAAAGCCAATAAGAGGAATTACTGTAACCTGCAAAAGTATGTTAAGGTTTGTTATTTTTTTACTTTATTATGTAAAAAGGATACAGGCCTTTTTTTCTTGATGCAATGCAGAGCTATTTATTTTATCGGATTATGACTTCGTGTCAGCAGATACTTAATATTAAATAACTTGGATCGGATCAGGAGCTAAAATAACTTGATTGGGACATCCCTAATAAGAACAAAACTTTATTTTATTTTATTTTAAAAAATCAGTTATACAGGCTGCACATCATGATATGATCTGTATTCTGGCATTAAAATAAAATGAATAGATATGTACCCCACTGCCACCGCACCTTGTTTTGTTCATTTATACAAAGTATCAATAAGTTCAGAGGGGCAGTGTAGGGGTTTGTGTGTTACAGTCATCATCCTGTGGTGTTCAGAGGATGAGGCACTGAAGTACAACACTCGTGTTGTGAGATATATTTTTGAGTTATACAGGTTTTGTTTTCATTCATTTTTTTCAGTGCATTCATTTAGAACTGTATACAAATATTTTCACTGGAACTACATAGTAGGTGTCATACATCAGGAATTAATGCACACCTAGCAGCCAATCAGAATCATGTATTCACCCAGACCATGGACCATAATAATATATATTACGTACAGGAGATGGTAAGTCAATTATTGTTGCTTGCTATACTGCGCCTAGTGATTTTGATAATATTACACATACCAAATATTTTACAAAAGAGTCATAATACATTGTCAAAACTGTGGTACACAAGGAAATATTTCAGGTATTAAAACTTTAAAAGCAGAAAAAAAAAATACATTTTACTCAAACTACTACACACAAGTACTGAACAAAATAACTTGTCACTCACCCATGATTTTCTTTTGAATTTCCTTTCGTCACATTATCGACATTGTTGTTTACTTAACACCTTCCATCTGTAAATGAAAATGTTATATCGTTACATTCAGCCCATTATCATTTATCGAATATCAACCCCACCAACAGTCTGTTCAGCATGCTGCCTTCTGGCCAGTGACACAGATTCATCAGCTGCCATACTATCAGACTACAAACTGCTATTTTCCTCAGGCTGTGACACTCCTTAACTCCACCTCATCCTCCACACACCACGTAAGTAAATGATTAAACCTCAGTTACATTAAACTGTTGGTCTTATGCATTACCAAATCTTTGCAGTACCCTCATTCCCACAATATTTTTTGGGCTATATGTATGGTATGTATACATATGTGTGTGTATATTCTGTATTGTATAATGACAATAAAGCTGGAACTGGAACCTTGAACTCGCATACAGATCAATATGTGGTAACTGAAACTGCTGACAGGCAGTTTTATCTTATCAATAAGATAAGACTGTGGGAAAACTTTCAATCTGGTTTCACTCGTTATGCCATAACATCTTATTTAAGTTGACTTTAATGAAATAAATAAATAAAAATAGCTTTAAAAAACTGGAAAGGGAAATAAGGAAATAACTCTGTGAGCTTGTAGTGGATGACAAACATCACTAAATACAACATGTATACACAATTAATAATTAATAATTAATAATACATCCTGTTAATACTGATATCCTTACAGTACAAATATAATATATACATTACAATGGTTGATAAGCCACATAAAATTTAATTGCTAACCTGGAGAGAGGTTATTTCTTTCTGTACAATGAGTAAGGCAAAAACAAATTACAGCAAACTATTTTATTTATTTTTTTAAAGCGATCAATTTGTTCTTACCTTGGATAAGTACTGACAGACATCAGCCTTTGAACCTTTTCTGGGCTGGAGTTTGTCACAAATTGTTCAAACAACCGCAAGGCTGCTGTAACTCGACCTCTCTTTCGTATCGTCTGCTGCTGCTGTCTGTTGGGCAGCGCCCACTGCACCTGCCGAGTCCTCCAAGTTTCGTTTCTGAGTAAAGCTGAACCACCACCACCAGATACCAGAAAGTCAAGGTAAAGCAGATCGTCACATTATTACACTCAGAAGCCTCCAAAAGAGTGTCATAAACAAATATAATGTTTATAATAAGCTTCAGTAACCTTTTAATGCTAAAGGCAAGAAATGCATAAGTATGCAAAACGGCACAACGCGCTCACTTATTTTTTATTATGTTTTAAATCTAATATATTCAGATTTACTTACCTATAAGTAGCAGTACAAAGCCCTGCACTAAGAACCATAATCAACTAAATATTTAACTCATCTATGGTTATTATAGGCTATAAAACACATCAGGTGAGCATGAAAGAAGTTTAGTAACAGGGTGTGACAAGCAGAGCTTTTGAAGGGAAGTAAAGGAAGGGAGCGGAAGAAAATAATGGGAAATTATTTAGTTACTACAGTTTACTAGAAGCTAGTTCTGTTCTTGTTCAAGGTCATTATAGCATTAACTGATAACAGAACAACATAGGTTATAAAAGTTCAAATAAATATCAAAGTTACAGTAAATTGCAGCCAAACCACTGACAGCATTAACATTTTGTTGCAGATAAAGCCAGACTTTTGAACAGCTGAATTTTGAACAATATAGGCATGGATTCACCATTTGGCCTAAAGAAACCTTAACAAGGTCCAAATGAAAATGGTAGGAATCCACTGTTTGACCTGAGCAGCACAGTACCATTTATCACTACATCATAACACTTTGTTGAGCCTCACCCCAGCATTAACAATGACTTAACAATGTGTTCACTGATTGTACCAGATAATCCAACAATAAACGCCAGTATGAACAGAATAGGCCCAGCAGGTCAAGTCACTGGGTGTTGACAGTTTTAATCCTTCATCAGGAAAACATTTTCTTGAACCTGTTTTAGACACTAAATAAAAAGGAGGTGTGAAGCATCCTTACCGACAACTTCCACTGGGTCCTGTTTTAGCTACAGTCCTTGAGCAAAGTTCTGTTAACAATGTACAGATTAAACCCACATTGATCTTCTCATATGCAGCCTATTTCCCTTGATGTTTGACTGTTCATTTAACTGTTACTTTCAGACTGAAATGCATTTTAGTTATTCCATATTATTTATTATTTAACTGGTTTACATCCCGACATACAAGTCTGGGTTTAGATATATTAAATGTGTGTCAGAGTGTGACTTGGAGAGGATGCAATGATTCACAAACTGGCTCTGTGTTACTGTGCTGGTCCTTTTAGGCAGTTCCTGCTTTATTTACCTGAATTAAAAAGGTCCAGTGTGTAAGATTTAGTGGCATCTAGCATTGAGGTAGCAGACTGCAACTAACTGAATAGGTGCTAAATATCCATATTTTCCCGATTCCCCCACCGTGAGATGCAGCAATCAATAAACACACGGAATTTTAGTATAAAAAAAAAATAGAATTTAATGTGCAAGTCATTAAATCACGTTTGACACCCTTAAAAAGTTATTTTACATGAGAGTTCTGCAGCCTGACCTCTAATCTCATTTTTGACTGCATAATCACATAGAATAAAATTACCTACTGTATTCAGACGCCACCCTGAACACCCTTTGGAACAGTCCACTCTTATCGCGTCAGCACAATTGATTGACAAAAGAGAAGCAGTCTAGCAGCATTAACTGGAATCAAGCACATTTAGCATAGTTAATTTTATAGATCTGTACCCATACAGCACAGTGATATTTAAAAAAAAAGGCACATCGGCCACATTAAATGATTTATCATCAATGATCCAAATTCTGAATCAGTCTATACAAAAATATACATACAGTATCTGTGCAGTGAACAGGCTCACTCAGAAATACAACATTGCACAATAAAACTACCCAAGTGTTCAACAACATCCAGACATGTTTCCCACAATAGAGGCCAAATATTTTTGGGACAAACACATTTTCAAACATGCCATTATAAAGTAAAAAAAAATTCTCTTTGCTCAGTCCTGCTACAAGATAATGTTCAACAACACCCTGTTGGTTGTCCGAGTTCCTTGAGGCAGAGACAGACTTGTGGACGGTTCTGTTGGGGAACATGTTAACCCAGGTGAGCAGAAGGCACTTAACTAAGGGTGCAACCGCTGCACCCGGCAGTGGATCCCAGGCACTGCAGGCCTGGTCCTCACCAGCTCACGGTGCAGCAATTGAGTCCCACTCTGTGTCCACTCTCGAAGGCGTTGCTCCCCTCTGTGCTGGGTCCACCTGACTCTGGTCCAGTTCACACTGGTTCACTGCTCAGTGTAGAAGAATCTGGCAGAGTGTGTTTCTCAGATGGACTGGATTCTGTTTGTCTGAGAGGATCTGTAGGTGATTCTGAGGCAAATGTGGGGTTCACTGCTTCAATGTGTAAGTCAGTCTGTGTGGACAGTGCTGGCGCTCCCGGCTGCACTGTCTGAACTGGCAAATGTGAGGATGCAGGCTCATCTGGTGATGTACGGGGCACTGACTCTGCAGGGATTGTGTGAGAGACCTGCACAGGCTGTGAAGAATGTGTAGGTTCCTGGGGTTGTGAGGAGGGTGATGATGTGTGTGTTGGCAGGTGTTGAGTGCATGACTCATTTTGTCTCTGTGGCCCAAAATATGTGTACTGGGCTTGTGTTTTTGCAAGCTGCTCTGCAGGGGAGTAATAAGGCAGGAATGGCCTCTCAGATGCACAGGTCCGCATGGCCAGGTAGGTGTGCATGAGGAGGTGGGGGAAGCGGGAGGTGAAGTAGGAGACAAAGTCATCAGGGATGGAGCCCAGAGTCTCCTGTACTTCAGCAGGCAACTCTCGGTAATGGTGTTTCTGTTGGAGGAAGGTCAAGCGTTAAGTCCAACAGGAAAGACCAGTTTTATTTTAATTTTTTTTAAACAAAACATGAGTAGTACGCTCCTACCTTGTTTCTCATCGCACGTAGCAGGTCTCTGACTGACCCACCCTTATAGGAGCGAAATTTCCGCAGATCTACCAAAGAAAGAGAAAAATAAAACTCAATGTTCATCAACCACAGAGTGAATCCCTGTTCATTGTCCAACAAGGAACCAGTAAACAGGAAATCCTGAAATGATGCAGCTTTTTTTAAATTTTAGCTTGTTACTGAAGTATCCAAAGTTGGACTAATCAGTGCAGTTCTGGAAATACTAGAACAGAGAAGTGAGAACAAAACAACATCTGGGGCCAGATGTATACAGTAAACCATGCATACGCCATCACCCAAATATTAACTGGCATTTATAAAATAAATGTGTCACCTTAAACAGACTCAGATGAGGCGTACACAGTGTATTCTAGAGATAGCTGCAGGTGATTTAAGTGGATAACATCACTGATTGTGTTATTATTTCTGATGTCTACACAGCATTCTGTAAAATGTCAATCAAAGGTACATTTTTAAACATGTTTTTTTTGTTTTTGTTTTATGAATGATGAATTTCATCTGTTATTTACACTTGAGCCTAATCATGCCTAATGTGGCATAAATAGCCTTATAAATCTGACAAAAAGAATGCCTATGCATCTGGCCCCTGGTGACCTACTCTAAGTGAATGACAAAAAATATAGCAAGTACAAGTATTATTAGCTAGTTTTATAAGGGTAACTGTTTGTAAAAGTTGTAAACTCTTGTTATACCTGTATACTCTATTATTAATATACCATGCACATAATCTCACATTTATCTCATTTAGGTCTTTCTGCCATCAAAACCTTTGTCTGGTCAATAAAACTAAAAGTTCTAAGAGAACCAGCTACTCAGAGGGTGGCAATGCAGACAGGAAGCAGCAGGCTTACTTAACCACCCACTGCATTATTGTGTTGTGACAGGATTCAGCATTGAGTGCAATATACATCACACCTCAAAGTATTTCTCCAGCTAGCTCTAAAGTGAATTGAGTCAATTTGTGTAATGCTATACTATAACCAACA